TAGCTCTCTGCTCTCTTTGGTATATTTGATAAAAACCTGATAAGTACTCTGTGGGGACAGCAGCAGTAGGCTGAACCTGTCAGAATAGAGAAAACATCTATGTCCTATGGGACCTATTTCAGTACCTCTCTTTTGATAGCTAGGTTCTTCTCTGAAAGCTAGCAGACAATAAACACATAGTAAAATGTGAAGCCTGGTAGTGATTTCTCTTTTATAATGCTATGGATAATAACATATATATTTATATAGTAAACTATAATAGTTTTAAATATTTTGTTAGACTCCAGGAATAAACATTTTGTAAAAAAAGAAAAAGACAGAAACAGGGTAACATACAACAATACATGTGTTACAGATTTTCAAAACAGGAATAGCTAATTAACTGGTTACATTATCTGTTTTTATTGTCAAATCTGTTGTTCAGATTAACAGATACAGTTATACAAGATGGGGGAATATTGAATATTGAGGTTTGCATTCAACAAATACTCATTTTTTCTTTTATTTTAAAGAGAGTATAATAATTGATAAGACGTTAGAAACGGTACACATTTAGAAGACCAAGATGAGAGGTATTCAACCATGGGTTTTGTGCTACGCATTGCTGTCCTCAGTATAGTTGTGCAGCTCGCAGATGTCAGCATGCAGAGTCAGGGTGAAAGTTCTAAACATTAACTGCTGGTAATTAACTGCTGTTTTCAAAACACTGATGGAAATTATGAGTAGAATCATCTCAGCCATCCTGTATATATACTTGTGTGTTTTTTTCTCCTTTTTTCCTATCTTCTCTTCTTTTGTCATTGTTAAATCCTTAAGTTCAGTATCTTTCCGTTTTACTTTATCTTTTAGTTTTCATTTACTTTTTCTTTCTTAGGTATTCAGAATCAAACTCAGGGCCTTATGCTTGCCAGGCAGACGCTGTACTGCTGAGCTACATCCCCGGCTCCTTCACTTACTTTTGAGGGACAGTTTTACTAGATTCCATGTTGTAGGTTGCTATCTTTTCTCTTTCAATTAAAAAAAAAAATTCATTCCATTTTGTAATCATTACCCCAGTTCCTTATATGTAAGAGGCATCCCCCTCTGCCTTCTTTTAAAATTTTTCTCTGTTTTGTTGTTTGTCCATTTCTTTGTTTTGTACTGTGAACATATATGTTCATACATCATGAGTTTTTTGGTTTGTCTTTTATTTTTTGAGACAGGGTCTTGGTATGTAGTGCGGCTGACCTTGAACTCGGTGATCCTCCTGCCTCAGCCTCCCACTGCTGGGATGACAGGTGTGCACCCTCATGTCTAGCCAACACACATAGTATTTCTTAAAAATGCTATTTTTCTTGGTGTTCTCTGAATTTTTTGGATCTATATCATTAATTTTGGAAAAATCTCAACTATTGTTTCAATTAATTTTCCTTCATCTTTTCTTTTTCAAAGTATTCCATTTGTAGAATGTATAATTATCTCATAATTACCTTGAAGTTCTTATTATTTTCTTTTTCTTTTTTTACTTTGTATTTCAGTTTAAGAAGTTTCTGTTGCCATCTTTTTGGGCTCACCTGGCGGTCTCCAGGGTGCTGATGAGCCATGAAGGCATCCCTCATTTCTGCAACAGTATTTTGGTTACTAGGTCATTGCATATATTTGGTGCAGTTGCATTTCTTTTTTACTTTTGGTCATCATATCCTCCCCAGATAGATTATTTTCCAATGTTTTCTATCATTCAGTGAATATCATACTACTTTCTTGGTACTGTCCATTGAGCCACAGAAGGTTCTACTTTTGATGTAGAGTTTACTTTTTTCCTTTAATACTTTAGTGTCATAACTAAGACTTTATTGTCTAATGTAAGGTGTGAGATTTATACTTGTGTTTCTTCTGACTGATAGTTTTAGCTCTTATATGTAGACCTGTGATCCATTTTGAGTTAATTTGTGTATGATGTAAGGAAGGAGTCTACTGTTTTGTTTATAGATGTCCAGTTGTCCTAACCTCACATTTGTTGGGGACCTTAGTCTTTGAATAGACTTTGCACTCTTGTTAAAAATCAGTTGACCAAAAAATAAATAAATAAATAAATAAAAATAAAAATAAAAATCAGTTGACCATAAATGTAAGGGTGCATTTTTGAAGTCTTTGTACTGTTCTATTAGTGGCCAGAACTATGCAGTCTTGATTATTTTAGCTTTATAATAAATGTAGAACTCAGGAAGCATGATTCTTTCAGCTCTGAGATAGTTTTGCCTCTTCTGGGTCCCTTGCATTTCTATATGAATTTGAGGATTAGCTTGTTAGTTTCTGTAATGAGGCTAGCTGGGATTGTAACAGGAATGGAATCATTACAGAGGATATTGCTGTTACAGTAATAAGTGTAACTGGGTGTGATCGTACATGTAATTGTACTGTAATCCCAGGTACTGAGGAGGCTGAGGCAGGAGGATGATGAGTTCAAGTCCAACCTGGTAACATAGACCCTATCTCAAAAAAAGTTGACAAAATGGTATTGCCACTTTGTAATATTGAGGCTTTCCGTCCATGAGCATGTGGTAGTGTTCTACTACCTAGACTTTTTAACAGTATTTTGTTTTCTTATATAAATTGTGTATTCATTTTGCTTCATTTATTTCATTTATTTTTTACTATTTTCTTTTGGTACCAAGAATTGAACATGGCCTCGCACTTGCTAGGCAGACAGTGTGCGCTGAGTTACATGCCTGGCACCATTTATTTGTAAATATTCTTTTCAATGCTATTACAAATGGAATTGATATGGTAGACAGTGTTATCTGCAAATAGTTTTATTTCTTCCTTTCCAATCTGGATGCCTTTTGTTTTTTTGTAATTGTTTAAATTCAAAGTTATATTCAAATAAAAATGAAAATGGACATTTTGTTTTTTTTTAATTTTTATTTTTTCTGTACTTTAGGGAAGGGTCTACAGGGTGTTCAGGGTGTCACTACTAGATTGGACTCGTAGTGATTCTGTTTACAGCCTTCCAAGTGCTGGCATTACAGGTGCGCATCCCCGCGCCCAGTCTCAGTTGCGGTCTCTGAGCCCCGGAGGCGGGCCGGCACTGCAGGCCTGGATCCCTGAGCCCTGCACCTGCTTGCAGACACTCTAATCCACTGAGCTCTTTGGCCGGCCGGAAAATGGACATTATGGTTTTTTCCTCGTACTGGGGGAAAGCATTTAGTCTTTCACTATGTTAATTATTATGCTAACTGGTTTCATTGATTTTTCTGTGTAATTTTTCTATTCTTTGTTTTGCTAGAATAGTTTTTATTTTCATTCTTTTTTTTTTTTTTTTTTAATTCTTGATTGTGTTTAGTGTCCTTTTTTTCTGTCTTAGGTTGGATTTATTTGTGATCTCGTTTTTAACAGTTATAAGTATAATTTTTTCTTAAAGCACTGCTTTTGCTAGTTCCCATACCCATATTGGCTTTTTTTTTTTTTTTCTTTCAATGGAGATAAGTATTACCTTTTTTTTTTTTTTTTTGTACCAGGGATTGAACTCAGGATCTTGTGCTTGCCAGGCAAGCGCTTATTCTACTGAGCTAACTCCCTTGCCCTTACCATTGTTTTTTATCTTGCATTGATTTGAGCTTGCTTCGGTAATATAATTGCTGTTATTCAGTCTTTGGCAGTACTGGGGATTGAATTCAGGACCTTGCACTTGCCAGGCAAGCGCTTATCCTACTGAGCATTCTCCCCAGCCTCTATTCAGCCATTTTTGATGTGAAGTTAGTAACTTCCTACATTTCACTCTAACATGATCATTTTCCTGAATCTCATTATTTCTTGTTATTCCCATAGTATCTTTATTTTTATAATCTAAGAAAATAAGCTTAAGAGCAATGGGATTCAGCCATTATCCTAGGAATGATATGTGTCAGGATAGAACTAAAGCATTACTATTATTACTATTATTACTAATTATTACTGATTTTTTTTGAGACAGAGTCTCACTACATAGTCCAAGCTGATCTTGAATTCATACAATCCTCCTGCCTCAGCCTCCTGAGTGCTGAAATCACAGGCATGCACCCTCCCACCTCGTCCCCACCCTTGGCAAAGACATTATTTAAGATCCAGTGGTCTTATAGCATCTCTTACAAGAAATTTTTGATCTGATTGAGGGGCAGGTACGTGGAAATAATTTACATCTCACCCCTGGTAATGAATGTTATATCCCAAAAGAAATACTGAGCACTGTCATGATTGATTAATGTTTCTGTCAATGTATTGCTGTTGCTTGTGCTTCCCAACATTTAGGGAGTCTCTGCTGCGTGCCACAGTCTGAGGTTGAACAAAATAGAGGATGAGGAAGGGGAACCTAATTGAGCACCTGCTTTTAAGTAGTTGTGGTCTAACAGAGGCTCAAATGGGCCATTCATTGTGATAGCATAGGATAAATTGTACAGAAGATAAAGCCCCAGAGGAAGGGTGAATAATCTCTTAGGCTTGTAGGAAAGGCCACTCAAAGATTTCTAGTTGTTCAGCTTACAGCTTAAAGCAAGAAGAACATTTTAGATAGAAAAGACACAGCGAACATTTTAGGCAGGGGAAGAGCGTGTACTGAGGTCGAGAGCGCAGGTGTGTGGAGCCCAGAATGTGCACTGGCAAAGACACGAGACTGCACAGTAGGGGAAGATTGTGAGGGCGCCATGTGAGAAGGCAAGAGGTTGCACACTGTTCTTTTGTAGGCTATTTAGAAGTAATTGAAGATTTCTTTTTATTCGGTCAAGGTCTCATGATGCAACCCAGGCTGGCCTTGAACTCACTGTGTAGCCCAGGCTAGTCTCAAATTCACAGTTCTTTTGCTTCAGCTTCCTAAATGCTGGGATTACAGGCATGTGCCACTGTGCCCAGCTATTTGAAGATTTCTAAAAAGAGAATTTTGGATTGTTTTTCTGGTTGTATTTGAGAGTTGGCTTTTTTTTTTTTTTTTGTCGTCATGTAGGTCTTTCTTCACCAGTAAAATGTACTTTTTTCTTTTTTATTCACAGTTCACTGAAGCTTTTTTGACAGAACGGGACAAGCAGTCCAAATGGAGTGGAATTCCTCAGTTGCTCCTTAAGCTGTATGCCACCAGCCACCTCCACAGTGACTTCATTGAGTGTCAAAACATTCTCAAGGTAATTCTTAGGGGAGCTGCATTCAGAGCCTCCAGGTGACATAACTGTCTGCTTTTCTTAATGGGCTTTATTAATTGTATGAGCTGTTGAGAAGTTCAGAAACAGGGCAAGAAAAGGAAAGTCACCGGTAGTGCCCCCATCAAGAGGCAGTCACCATAGGTTTCCTGTCTGTTTCCTTCCAGGCTTTATTCATGTTTAATCTGTGGTAGTAATCGCTTTATTTAGGAAGTCAACACTGGCGTTTGGGTGGCACTTTCCCGCCTGTGGTTCTGGGGATTGAACCCAAGCCCACAGGCATGTATATAGTATAGGTACTCTTCCACTGAACTATATGCCTAGCCTTGGAGAACATTCTTTTTGTTTTTGTTTCTGTTTTTTGCTCACTATGTAGTTCAGGCTGGCCTTGAACTCGCAGTGCTCCTCCTCCCTCAGCTTCCTGAGTGCTGCAGTTACAGGGATGTGCCACCATGTTCTGCTCTTGGACATGGTTTTAAACCCATATATAGCTGAAGGCTCCTGGAGAACCTTGTGGTTGTTGATTGGAAGGGGCAGGTTGATGGTTGGGGCAGGAGAAAAGAGTGCAGAGATATGCTGAGTGGTTCTGAAGCCTGAGTGTGTAGCAGAATGCTGGGCCTAACCCGCAGACGTTTTGATTGTGTACATCTGGGGTTACCTTATCCAAACGTCAGCTTGGGCCAAGTGTAAACTCCTAGCTCTGGTTGCATTTATAAGCTGGGTGAGTCCATTTGATCATTATAAAGCTGAATGATGGGGGCCGGGGAGATGGCTCAGTGGAATAAGCACTTCCCTGGCAAGCTCAAGGGCCTGAGTTCAATCCCCGGTTCTAAAAAAAAAGAAAGAAAGAAAGAAAGAAAACTGAAATGTTCTTCAAAGGTAAAATTTTATGATAATGTTGCAGAAGTCATTCTAATCTGTAATAGTGAATAAGCCCATACATTATCTTTAAGAGGCATGTTCATGATCTTAATTGTGTCATAGTCTAATTGATAGAAATAATAGCCTTTTATACTTATTTAAAAATACTTTCCAAAGAATTGTACAATATTTTGATTATTGTAAAATCTCTGAGATATGGAGAAAAATTAATATCTGTTAGTCCTTGATGTTTGATCATTTCTTTATTCATCCAGCAGATAACCAAATGTTTACTTAAATCTTACTGTGTAGCAGGGTTTTTTGTAAGATTGTTTTCCTATTAGCTTTGTTCCATATGAACAAAAGATTGTCACCTTCCAAAATTTGAGAATGACCTTCCTGTGTCCACAGTTTCAAATGCTTGCTGTCTTGAGACCTACCCCAACACATCTAATCTAGCCCTTTCTTCAAAGAGCATTTACTATAGAAGGAAAACACAAGACTTCAAATAAATACAAAGTTAAAATGCTAAATGTATACTGAAAGTGTTAGCCACCACAAATGGGGGCAGATCAGCTTTCATTTGCGCAGGGGAGATCAAGCAGGAATTCCTCCAGGGTGACATTCCATCAGAGGTGTGGCTATTACTCCAAAACCCAGTAGCTTGAAGTAGCAGCCACTGTTTACCTCACAGTTCCTGGTTCATTGAGTGGTTCTGCTTCCTGTGGTTTTGAATGGAGGACTGAGACATTTAAAATGTTAAAGTAGCCTCCCTCACCAGGCAGGCTGGTGCAGGCCGTCAGCTGAGACCCACGCTGGCATCAGTCACAGTCTCAGTTCCCCTCCCGGGGCTTCCACAGAGGCTGTGTTGGGCCTCTCAGAGCGGGGTGGTTAGACTCGAGTGCGGCAGAGGCCAGCACCACCAGGCCTTAAGACATCGCTGCTAGAACTGGTGCATGTCACTCTGCCACATTCTGAAGCAGGTGGCACCAGATTCATTGTAGAAAAGAACTCTACAGGAGCCTGGGTGCTAGAAGGTGTGCTTCATCGGGCTCCTGCGCATGCAGATTCAGTTTATGACTAAAATGCAAACTGATACTTTAGCATCTGGTCTGTATTGAATTCTAAAACAAAATGTCTCTGTACTTTTTTAAAAGGAAATTTCTCCTCTTCTTTCCATGGAGGCTATGGCATTTGTTACTGAAGATAGGAAACTAACTCAAGAAACTACTTACCCAAATACATATATTTTTGATTTGTTTGGAGGTGTTGATGTAAGTAACTATTTTTATTTCTATCAATATTAATATATTAAGAGTTGGAATATTTAAGTGTTAAGGTAAAGACAGAAAACATTTCTGAATTTATGGCAAACATTTCAGATTTTTAACTTTTAGAAACCCAGGAGCATTCACCTGTTTAAAAGCATAGTTTTTCTGTCTTTTTTCTTTCTTTCTTTTTTTTTGAGACAAGGTGCAGTTCAGGCTGGCCTTGCTCTCACTTTGCAGTCCAAGACACAGTGCTCTTCCTGCCTCAGCCGCCTAGTTGCTGTTATTACAAGCATATGCCACCATGCCTGATGTATAGTCACCTATTTTTAAAAGTACCAAGTAAAAAGTGTGCTTGCCAGTTTTCCAGGGTCTCCTTCTCAGAAGCAGTTGTGATTACTAGTTTCTTATATGTCTTTCTAGAGATGTTCTGTTACTCTGTGTGTGTTTTTGTGTGTGTAAATGCCCCTCTTTCCACTCTACCTCAGTTTATTTTTTCCCCACATACAGAGGCATACCATATAACCATTATAATCCACCCTAATTCATATTTTTTATGTAACCCTAGCATAACAGTAGTTTCATTTCAGTGGATGTAGATCTGCCTGTTGTGGTTTAAATTTGAAGTGTCTTCCCCCCAAGACTCATGGATCAGAGGGCTTGGTCCCTAATGGGCAGGGCCAGGAGGTGGCGTCCGGCTGGAGGAAGTCGGTCCTGGGAGCCCGGCACTGCAGTGTGCCCCTTCCTGGGCTCAGCCCCTGCCCTCTGCTTCGTGGCTGCTGTGAGCTAAGCAGTTCCCTCTGCTGTGCTGCTCCTGCCTTGGAGCCCGCTGAGCGAGGACTGGAACCTTGAGTCTAAACCCTTTGTCCGTTACATTAGGGGTGGCTGGCATTCTGCCCCAGCACTGGGAAGCTGGCTGCACTGCCTCGTTATTTAAAATGGCCAAATACTATTCCCAGGCATACCTGTACTGAGATTCTTTTGTGCAGTCTCTAGGGTTGTGTATTTAGAGCTTGTCCACATTGTTTCTATTACAATGTTATAGTAAAGATTTTTGTATGTATTTTTTATGTGAGTATAGACCTTTAGAATCAAAACATATGTATCTTTTGTTTACTGTATTAACTGCAATTTATCAACTTGCATTGTCATTAACAGTATAATAGTGTTTACCCACACCATTGCCAATGTGTGTGTATGTGTGTGTGTGTATGTGTGTTTATGGATTTGCTGTGAAAATATAATTTTCATACTAGAGGTATACACCAATAATTATTACCAAAAAGTTACTTTTTTTTGGGAAGAACCGGGGATTGGACTCAGGCCCTTGCGCTTGCCAGGGAAGCGCTTATTCCACTGAGCCATTTCCCCAGCCCCCCTCCCCAACAAAGTCACTTTTTAAAAATGTATTTAGTATAAGGTCTACAGGGTCTCACCACACAGGTTGGACTCGTAGTGATTCTCCTGTTTTCATCCTCCCAAATGCTGAGATTACAGGTGCACGCCACCATGCCCAGTCTCAATCACCAGTCTGAGTATGCCCCAGGGGCAGGGCTGGCATGGCACACTGGGAATTGAATCCCAGCCACTGCACTCTGCCCAAGTGCTTTAATCCGCTGAGTTATCTGGCCGGCCCTTCACTTTTGACCTGTTGCCCAAATTAAGAAATAGAACATTACCAGAACTTAGAAACCCCCTTTAGCAAACTGTATACTTTAAATATTTACTAAGTAGACATGAGGAAAATCTTATTTCCTTATATTATTATTTTACCAATTTACTGAGAGGGAATCTTTTTTTTTTTTTTTTTTTTGGTGCCAGGGATCAAACTCAGGACCTTGTGCTTGCTAGGCAGGTGCTTAAACCACTGAGCTGTGTCCCTCGCCCTTACCAGTTTATCAAGGCATGGTGTGCATGCCACACAGTCCACCATTTGAAGCATACAGTTCGCGTGTTCACTTCGGCAGCACATACACTAAAACTGGAGTGGTAAGAGAGTAGCGTGGCCCCTGTGCAAGGCTGACGTGTCAAATGCACAGCTCATGGTTTGCTTTTAGTGTGCAGCCAGCACTGCAGTCAGACTTAGAACACTGTACCCCTTCGCCGGAGATCTCCGTATGTATTAGCTGTCCTTCCCTGCCTCACAGCCCTGTCCTAAGAAACCACTCATCCACTTTCTGTGCCTGTGGATTTCCCTGTTCTTATAATTTGTATAATTGGAATCATGTAACATATGGTCTTTTGTACCTGTTTTTTTTGGTTTGTTTTTTGGTTTTTTTTGGTGGAACCAGGGATTGAACTCAGGCCCTTGGCGCTTGCCAGGGAAGCACTTACTCCACTGAGCCATCCCCCCAGCCCTTTCTTCTTCTTCTTCTTCTTCTTCTTCTTCTTCTTCTTCTTCTTCTTCTTCTT